TTGTGTAGAAAAGAGGTTGTACAAAATATGACCCCTATGTTCTGAGTGGCTGTCACGTATGGCCATTTTCTAATTCCGGTAGATTTACACTCATACAGGAAAATAAAATATTTTGTGTATATATATCACATTAACAATTAATTTCCGTTTCTGCTTTAGAGTTCGTAGAGATGGTCAGAGCTGACCCACTGAAACTGTCGGTGCGTACGGTGCTAGCTGAGATGGACGTTAACAGTGACGGCTACGTATCACGGTCGGAGATGCGCGAGGCGCTGAAGCGAATGGGTCGGAATTTGGATGACAGTGACATCGATGCAGTCTTCGACTCGATCGACAAAGATTCTTCAGGACGGATCACATTCGAAGGTTCGTAGGTACCTTTATTAAATTCCGTGCTGTGTAAAATCTAGAATAAAGGTGCAAGCATTATGAAATGAATCTGGTTCATTAATGGATCAGAATTTTGTCCTGAATAATGATTGGTGCATTCAGTACTGAAAGGAGAAGTTTAAGTTTCGACTCTGTGCATTTGAAAAGTGAGCCATTCATAAAGTGATACTTTAGTGTTTCTGGACACTGGGAATACATGTACAGCATGATTCGTTCCAGATCAAATTACACGGCGCATTGCTACACCCCGTTGCTACTGACTGGATAGGACATTTAAGCAGACCAAGTTTGATGGTTTTTGAGCACCTGCATTGACAGATGCATGTCGCATCATTTTATTCACTAGAGCCATCTCTTGCTCATCAGGAGCGATGGTTCAAGAGCTGGTATCCTTTTTACGCTAGCGCATGAAAGTCAATGTATATTCGCACGCCGGAGTATTTAAAATCGCGCATAACTCCTCAAAAACTAGATTTAGCTGGAGTACAGAGAGGAAGATCAATGCAAATAATTTTGTACCTCTACCTTCCAAAGGGAGAATAGCCACTCCTGGCGAAACTGGTGGAAAAACAGAATGATGACTCATGAAAAATGACTTTTACCGTAATGAATGTCATTAGTTATGAACTATGACTGAAAAGCTTCGGTCTAGGATATACGCGGTCGACATGGGCTTTCTCAGCCGAATCTCTGAGCTGTATAGTCTTGTCTTAGCATAGTCCGTAATTGAAATATGCAAGAGATCATTCTTGAGCGGTGCTGCTTGTCCAGATTGATAAGTCAGAACTGCGATGGTTTGAGCACGTCTGGCGAATATTTTCAAGGTGAAAGGCGAAAGAGCTATTACCGTGACCAACCGATTAACTGAGGATCGCAAGAACGGCCAAAAATAACCTCAGGCAAACGTATCAAAGGAATCTGTAAGCAGTTATGCTTTGCCGAAGCTGAAACGATGGCATCGGATCGGGAACGTCGAAGGTCTGACGCGTCTGCGAATGAAAAAGCGGCTATCCGAACTGACTAATTGAGGTTCAGGCAGAGGTACGATTCAGGAGGAACTCAAAGTCGATTAAATTAATCTTCGGCTCATTGTACGATTGTATCTATCATTTCAAGTGTGTTTAAGTTTGGTTTGAAACTTGATTTTTTAGAGTTCTATGAATTCATTCGCCCTAAATACTGATTCGGTCCAATGAAACAAAATTACTGAAAATATCTGAAGTCGTTCTGGCCTTGGAGGAGCATTGTGATTCAGTATTGCCTGTTTTCATATAATTATTTAATTGACTTAATTCTGAATCTTAAAGTAGCGATATATCTTCGTATATGTATGTAAGTTTTACTTGTTCATATATTTTTGTTTTGAATTAATAAACTACGCATTAAAAATCTTTCATATCCGGTTGATTTCCGTAAGTGTTCAAAGAATAATTTTAATCTAAGGACAAATGCGAGGATTTCGTCTCCCTTGGATATTCTCATAATGACGAATAATACCTTCCAAATTAAAATAATCGGCAAAAATTACAGTTATGGAGAGGTACGTTTCAACGTTACTGCTAGTATTTATTTGAGGCTGGTTGACATTCAATCATTCACTTTATGAAACATATTTCTGCATTTTTCAATCGTGTTTACATCATCGAAAAATGTACTTGGCCGCCAACGAATCTAAGACATCCTTTTCGGTAATTTAAGAGGAAACATAAAATTATTATTTTATTCCAATATTTCTGATTCTCGCATACGAGCTATCATTCATCATTATTTTAAATGGTTTGGAAGTCGAAACGTCAGAATAAATAGACTAACTATAATAAATTAAAGATTGCATCAGCGCGCAGAAGAAATATAGATATAGCAGTAGAACGGCGCTTTGATTCAGGCTTGATCTCAAATTTCTACAAAATCTCAAAATCTCTTACAAATTAGACCTGAAAGGAACACATTACGTTGCCTACTGCGTTAGAGGTATATCGATCGCTGGGCGAAACTGCATTTTTGGCGAATACAATGTGACATGCTGCTTCCATTCACTGGCCAACTACATGAACATAGCAGCGTTCCTTAGAGGTTTGCTCACTCACTATGAATCATTTTGTTCTTTGCTGCTGCTTTGCAACGATGTAAATGGCAACTAGATATATTTAGCTTTGTTTATCATTTAAATTTAATTTCGTTTAATATTTTTTAAAGGTGATGTCATCCCAGCTTGTACCAATGTCCGTTGAGTACACCGTTCTCTTCTGCTATATTCAAATAACAGGTTGTACATTTTGTCGTAGTATAAATATATAACGTATTTATTCAACTTAACTCGTATTAACAAAATACAGAATTTTCAATTTATACTTGGGTCATTGTTAAACGCAAATGTAAATAACTCATTGAATGAATTTACCGGAAGAGTTGCTCCGGATGACTGTGACAGCAGCAAACTAGAAATGCTAATGTAGAAAGGTCTATCACTACAGTAAAAGATCACATAACATAGAACAAAACGACATAAAATATGAGCTATAAATCGAAAAGACTTTAAAAACTTTAAAAAACAATTCTTATAAAAAAATATTCTGTTATAGACACCAGAATTATAAAATTACTAAGCAAAATTTTCAGTGTGCAGAACTGTTTTAGACAATATGCTAATCAAGGAAAAACTAAAACTTCATGAAATATGCGGGTTATTCATTAGTAAACCGTATGGTTAGCAAGTCCCCGTTTCTACTTTTATCACGGGATCCTTTTTCAGGCCATATTTCACCGTGGCACCAAACAGTTGGCAACCACTGTTTAGATATATTTATATTATTAGATTTTGCCTTGTACTTGGATAGCTCGTTAA